CGGCGCTCCGCCGGGATCGCGTTCCACCAGGTAGGGGCCGCCACTGAAAAGGATCTGGCCCTAGTCACGGCAAACCTTGCCTCCCGGGGGCCTGGAACCACCAGGCGATGTTGTGCCCCGGACCGAAGTGCTCTTGGGGGTATATGTGGGGAAAGGCGGTCCCTCAGGTAAGTCGGACCCCTGGCCATGTAGGGCTTTAAAGGTAAGTACCACCACTTTGAAGCGGATTCGGTATGCTATTGGCAGCCAGTGCAGCGCTTTCAGCTCAGGCTGGATGTGCTCCCACTTGAGGAGACCCATCAACAGCCTGGCCGCCGCATTCTGCACTAGCTGCAGCTTCCGGATCTGTGCCAAAGGGAGCCCCATGTAGAGAGTGTTACAGTAGTCAAACCTCAAGGAGACTGTCGCATGGATCACTGTAGCCAGGTCATTGCAGCCGAGGAAGGGAACCAACTGCCGAATCAGCCTAAGATGATAAAATGCCGATCTGGCAGTGGCTGCCACTCTTTTCTGCCGCTACATACAGACTAACATGGCTACCCATCTTGATCTACCTCCAAAGAACATTAGTAAAACATTAATTTAAACAACTCAATCTAAAACAAATTTACAATACAAGTTAATAGTCAATAGTATAGCCATGGGAAGGATTAAACCATTAAGGTGTAAAAGGTAAAGATAAGGAGGTAAGTGGAATCCACAAAAAATAAAAAGAGAAAGAACAAAGCAAGATTCAAACCAAACCCCGAGCCAGGATGAACAGAAAGGTTTTACCCCAGGGGCAGAGTGGGCTCCTAAAAAGGCTGAGAAGCCAAGCTGAGCTAAACCAACAATTAAAAAAACAAATGGAGATCTGCCGGTCACCTTTCCCTGTAATGCCACCAGACACATCTGAGCTAAGCAGTCCCTTCACGACTGCCAGGACTGTTTGGACACAGTGAAAACAAGGCTTTGTTCTGTGGGTCAGCATTTGTAATATATGTGGTAGTACTCTAGACATTCTCTAGGAACGTTCTGGGATAATTATCCTCTAGAACATATGGAAATCGTAGCTTACCATCCATTATGTGGCCATTTGAACAGATTGTGAAAACCCACACACGCTCTTCGCATGGATAACAATGATGACTCAGCAACAGTTACCTTGGATGTCTGATCTGTCATTTCCCCATCAAAATGCTGTAATCAGTGGGGGAGGGGGGAGACCCTGTGAATTTACATTTTGTTTTGTATCTGACAAATAATACTTGACTGATCTACACTGAGTAAAGTATACCACATTCATCTTCTATTCTCTACAATCTCTGTCTCCTTAGAATAGGTAAATCTTTAAAGAAGAAAAACAGGTAGTTCAGGTTCGATCTAAGTTTAGTTGGGTCAAAAACTACAATGCTATGACTAATGAATTCTTTCTGAAACAAGTATAATGGCTTGTATGGTTGGATGTCATCATGCAACCAGAGAATATCCACAACCAGTCCTGGGCAAGGCTTTATTATCTATCTTCTTACTTCAATATGAAGAATTCGATGCATTCAACAGCCCACTCTGAGATATTTCTTGTCCTCCTCCTCCTCTCATGGCTACTTAGACCCAGTTCTCATGTTATCGCTGAGGTTTAGGTGCTGCTTCCACATGACCAGATCTCACAATAATCTGTAAACAGGAGCCATTCAGGTTGGACAAATAAAGCCAGCTTTATCCATCACCCATGAGGAAAAAAGCCACCACCTCATTTCCCACACCCACACTCCTTTTTTTTACAGATACTACCATTGTGGTTTGGAACCAATTCTTGAGAAAGCAACTCCTCATGCTGCTACATCAATGTACAAATCAGGCATTAATGAATAATTCCATGTCTAAAATCAGTACTGTTTAAAGTGATCCCCTTTCTTACCAGTCTAGGCTACTATCCACTACTACAAATGAAAGCTTTGAATACAGATGCTTTGTTTAGATGTGAAGGGTAGGCCATTTACAACCAGCATCTCATACTTCACTTTCCTTAAGTTTGATCTAAGGTTACATTTGCAGAACATCTTTATAGCAAGTGCATAATCTAGTTCTGATCATATTCTAATAAACAGCTGTTAGCAAAGTAACAGCGTTTGCTGTCATAAGTCAGCCAGGGCTCTACGATAGTGAGGACTCCTCAGAAGAAGAGAAGTTCGTGTAGCCAGCCTTGAGTTAACAGAAGCTGACAAGCAGGAAATGAGATCATATTCTAAAAAAAAGCTGTTAGCAAAGTAACAGTATTTGCTGTCATGTGTCAGCCAGGGCTCTGCGACAGCGAGGACTCCTCAGGAAAAGAGGAGTCCTGTGTAGCCAGCCTTGAGTTAACGGAAGCTGATAGCAGGAAAATGAGCTGCACACTGGTCAGGATTCATAGCCAACAGTTGGTGCAGAGCCACCAACACCCTCCAGCCCTGATTCAGCAGATGAATCGCAGTTGGCCATTCCCAGCCCACCAGTATCAGCTACACCCTTAGAACACTGCAGACTGAGGCTAAGAACAAGTTACAGACAAGATAGCAAAGTGCACGCCTCCTGGCCCAATACCAGCTGCTTGATGATAACAAAGATGAGTACTTGCAGGATTGCTTCTGAGAAAGTGGTTGCAAGCATGACCCTTAGGCATGGGGCTATAAAAGCAGCCAAAAGAGGTTGTTAGGTGTGGATGCAATGCATGCAATAGATGCTAGTCCACTGACTCTGCTTTGCCTGACTTCTGGACCCCTGACCTTGGACTGACTGACTTTTTTGCCTTACTTCTGGACCCCTGACCTTGGACTGAACGACTCTGCTTTGACTGACTTCTGGCACATGATACTTGGAGCCTGCAAGCCAGGACATTTGCAGAGTGACAATACTTTGCTGAGTGTTGATGAATGCCAAGTGTCACGGCAGGGCCAGGGAGCGTGGGTTAAACAAGTCAAGTCCAAAGCCAGTCCGAGGTTCAGCCAATAGTTCAAGCAGCACAGAGATTTAAACAAGTCCAAAACAGTTCACAAAGCCAGCGTCAAACATACCATACGTCATAGTCCATAAATCAAGTAAAGCCAGAGTATCGCAGAGCCGAAGTCGTGGTCAAACAATGCCGAGAGTCAGGGAGCCGGAGTTCAGAAGCAGAGTAACAAACGGTCAAGGTTTCAAAGAGTCCGGAGCAAGATTTCACAGAGCGTCTGGTCCTGTCAACTGAAGTTGCCAGTACAAATTGCTTCAAGCAGCAGGTTTGTTGATATAGTGTGCTGGCTCATTAACTTGTTATCTTCGTGGAGCAAGGTCAGGCCGCTGTTAAAACTCAGGGCTGAATGAGCGTCTTTCACGCATGCGTGCAGCCTTGCGTCTCTCATTCAGCTCCTGTCGTCGTTGACTCCTGAGCCGGTTCACAGGTGGGGGGGAGTCGGGTGGTGATCTGCTTGAGTCAAGCAGAGTCTGATCCGGCGCAGGTGTCTCCTGTTAAAGGAGTCAGTTCTTCTGTTAAAGGAGTCAGTTCTTCTGTTAAAGGAGTCAGTTCTTGGCTGTTAGGCTCTGCCTCTGTGGTCACATCAGGGGCTTGTGGTGCCAAGCCCCCTTGTTCCTGGCTGTCAGATGCTACATCAGGGGCAGGCATGACACCAAGCACCTCTTCAGCTTGCTTCTTTCAGTTTGAGCCACATGCCACACACAAGCCTGCAGCCCATAAGTCTGTGTGCCCCACTCATTCCATGATGGCCTGACCTCTGGGGTGGGCCCGCAGGGAGTTGCTTGACAGCTGACTTGCTAACAGCCAGTGCTGGGTCCAACTGCCCAAAATTATCCTTGCTCCCCACCCCGTGCATTCCATCCAGGCACATATGGCTCCCCTAGCCCACGACTGGGAGCCTTTCTTTCCAGCTTAGTAAAATCCTTGAGGCCTTGCTGAAGAATCCCAGTATTTTTGCCAAAACAGAAACACCTTGGAACATGCCCCCTTCCCCCATGCTCATTGTTACCCTCTTTGTTCAAGTTATGTTTCCAGGAAGCACCTGTTATCATTAAGGTTACGGAGTTGGATTCCATGAACCATGGATAGAACAAATTCACAAAACAAATTTCTCTTTTTTTCCTCCTGCAACTGTCCATGAAACCCCCACCCCCCCAAAAAGACTGATCCTGAGAGTCAGGGGATCCTTGGGATCAGAGTGAGATGTGATGGGGAGAACTGAACAAGATCATCACTTTTGTAGAAAAGCTCCTGTAAGATGGAGTGGGAGAATTTGTATCAGTTTTCCTCTGAAGCTTATTGCCAACTTATCAGAAAATAATGTCTCTGTCTCTTCTTCTTATATATCATTTTATTACAAAGAGAAAAAAACGAAGTAAGATAGTTACTTTGTATTAAGAGGAACAAATGGAAAAATTAAACTGGAAACGTCATGCACTCAAAAATGCAAGTGAATACAATTAAGTTAGAGCAATTATTTCAGGAAATCGCACAGTCAGACCTTTTCTCCTGGCTGGTGCCTAAGAGATTATGGCACCACCAAGCCCATTTCTACTTAATGTCCTCTGGCTATACTGCTTGTGAAGAAATGCATTTTTGGGGTAGAGGTCTGACCTGAGTAAAACCTTTACCAGGAGGTTTTAAAAGTTTTTCTCTCTAGGAGGAAGTCAGTCAATGGCTTTCCAGCCTCAACCCAGCTATCTCTTGAGAAATGCTAATAGAGCTAACTAGAGACAAAAGGAAGGTCCAGACTCTCCCCCCCTCCAAGCAGGGAACAGAGATTTGGAGGAATTAAGACTAGAAAGACTTCAGGAAGAAAATTCTGGAGACTTCAGGAAAAGCTTCTTTGACCTGGCCTGACCTGGTCAGTAGGAGGGGAAAGAGAGAAGACAAAACTCTTGGAAGCAAGGAGGAAGCTCTCTCTTTGGGTGCTGATTCCATCAAAGCAGACAGAACTCGTCACTGAGGTCTGGAGGAGGCGGCCATTGCCATGTGCTGGCCTGGACAGCTGAAGGAAGCAGCAAGCTAATGGAAGTCTGTAGAGATCTGTAACATTCTAAGCTAAGGAGTCTGTCCTATATTCTAACATCTGATAGAGCACATATAGAGGGAGGGACAGAGGAATTGTGTTTTACCTGTTTCTTTTGAATCCCCTGCTCAGTCTGGTGCTGTGCTAAAAGTATGCTTGTGAACAGTTTCTTTTTAATAAATACTTTATAACTTTGGATCCTGGTAGTGGTTCTCTGTATCACATAGACCTCCACCATCTCCGGCGTGGAGGGCGGCGTATAAATTTAATAAATAAATAAATCTTGGACATGCTATTTTAAAAGAAATGCCAGGAGGAAGGCAGGCAGTTGGCAAGTGGGTATTCCTGCTAAGCTGTGACAAGGTAGTAGGGGCAGCGGCAGCTGAGCACCTAAGTCCGCAGAGCTGGAGAAGTTGCGGTTGCAGGCAGAGAAGGAAAGGAGGGACCAGGAGATAGAGATCTAGAGACTGATGGCGGCAGGTTACCGGAGAGAGAGAAAAGCCTCTCCATGTGTTCGGAAAACCTTTGAGGGCAGGGTAGAACAGGGCCCGCAGGACAGAGCAGGCCCCTTCAGCCACACTGCTCTATAGCCAAGATCTGAATGTGAGCCTGTATTCCAAAGTGACTTCAACGCCTTAGTTTTAGGTCACACACAGTGCTTTTTCTCTGCACTACTGGATTAAGGTGATATATTTCTCTTTCTTTTTATGCTTTGTATTTATATCAAGCTAAAACGTAGAATTAAAGGGGGGGGCAATGTAAGCACTGACACTAGTAAAGCATGACCATATGATTTATTCACTGTTGGCCTGAAAATGAGGAAATGGTAGGCAATCAGCCTGCTACTGCAGATTCAGTCTTATAACTGCCACATCTCTAGTATGTAAAACTTCTGCCAGATTGACACATGGGAGAAATGGAGGCATTATGTACAACTATTTCGTTTTGCTTACATACAGTAGAGGGAGAACACACGCAAAAGCCAATAGGGGAAATATTACTCCAGCTGCTGTGAAGTTTACAGTCCACACCATCAGGTCAAGGGTAGAAATCAGCTTTACTGGAACCCTCAGCCAGGCATCCATGTTGGAATCATGTCTGAACTAACCCCACTTCCTCAGGAGCATGCTCAGTTTCACTGCTCAACAAAAAGTATCTGCCACTCAGCCACTAGGTGGCAACATATCCTACTGCCGCAGTCGCTTGGTGGTGGTGGAAAGCACCACTGTCTCAGCAAACTTATGGTGACGACACAAGGTTGTCAAGAAAGAGATGTTCAGAGGTGGTTTGCCATTACCTGCCTCTGTGCAACAAGCCTGGCCTTCCTTGATGGTCTCCCATCCAAATACTGACCAAGGCCGACCTTGCTTAGTTTCAGAGATCTGACGAGATCAGAGTAATCTGGGCTATGCAGGGTAGTCACTTATAGGTACCTGTCCCATCCCTTTCTGGATGTACTGGTTGCTATGACTGGTGGTGGACAAAGGATGGGACAACACTCCAATCCAACCTTTCTACTCAAAGAGATTTTGTTACTACTTGTTCCCCCCCAAGTGGTACTGTTTGTTTGTTCTTCTATTTATTTGTATTTGTTTGACTCTGGAGAGGCAGCATTTAAATTTCCTTAATAAAGCCATGCACTGAGTAGTTTACATTTTTAAGAAGCAAAAATCATTTAACTAAACAAAGACTCATGTTCTCTATCTACTGAACAGCAGCCAAATGGCACAGAATTACTCAAAGGCATGCTTTCTATGGAGTCAAAAATTCCAGTCCTCTCTAGGAATCACTAAAAATGCTATGGTTTTATGGTTTTACCACAGAAGAGTTTTACCACACTTCTGGATGTTTCCCATAAGTAATGGTACATCATCAGTCCAACTGCCATTTTTAAAAAAATATTCTACTGCTGCCACTTGCAACAGTAGAGAGAAACAAGAGGCAGGCCATCCTCTACCCCTGCTGGGGGACTGGGAACGGTAAGCAGAAACCAGAAATCAAAGAAAAAATCATAATACTTTATAAGAAATCCTGCACACCATACAGCATACCTTTTTGATTATTTTGTAATGTTTTATAATTTTATATATCTTCATCATCAACAACAACAATAATATTAATGGATTTCTTGGCCGCCCTTCGTACTCACATATGCACAATAATCGATTATTTTGTAATGTTTTATAATTTTATAAATCTTCATCATCAACAACAACAACAATAATAATGGATTTCTTGGCCACCCTTCCCTAAGGTAACTGCATTCGTACTCACATATGCACAATAGCATCAGCAGTTTGGTAGAGCTTCGTACACAAACCAAGAAAACATTTCTCTAAAACCTAGAAGACTAAAGGCCAACTTGTTGTTGTTCAGTCGCACAGTCAAGTCCGACTCTTCGCGACCCATGGACCAGGCTGAGGAGGAGGCATTTAACTCTCCCATGCCTGCTTTTTCTCCTTCTGCACATCCCCCCCCAAATTCCTTCCTCTCACACTACCTCATAGCTTAATTTTTCCTCAGGTGCCCTGAAGCAGAATTGAAGTTGTCTGAGGGAAAATGACATTTAGCTAACTACAAACAAGTGATTTGTTTTGCTTACATATGGCACCCAGGGTGCACAAGTGAGGAATTGGCAGGCGGGGGAAAGATTAAGTGCCGTTCCCTCTCATTCATTGATCCTACCTCCCACATTCCCATTACCCCAGCAAACACATGGCTGAAACTATCCATACCATCTATCTCTGCCCTCACCATAAGCTTAAATGGACTGTCTTCATCCATACAGGTCCACTGAATGTCACCTTCTCAGGTCTTCTCACATCCCTGTATGTTTCCAAAGCAGTGGCACAAATTAGACGACCACAAGGTCAATAAAGAACTTCATTAATGTTATGAATAGCAGATGATGCTATGAAGGGTTTTTTCTGTTGACCTCTAAACTTCCCTAGTACAAGGATAAACAACTGGTAACAGGCTACAAGATACTGTACAAACTGCAAAGCAAATAAACAGTATAAGCATTCTGATACTTACCTGCCTACTCTCCCGCTGGGACGAGGATGAAGTAGAGGCACTTTTATGAGACACTGTAGAGGTTCTGTGAGCAGGAGATACACCCTTCTCCTCTGAACTCATCACGGCAACTAGATTGGGGGGGGGGGCTTTCACTGTGAAGACCACATTGAACTCTTTCAGACGTCCAAACAAAGACAGAACCTGGTGGTTTTCAGCTTTCTTCCATTTCACAGTGTGTTCTCTACATGAAAGGGTAAGATGGATTCAAGGCATCTAAACCAGACCTGTAATGAAAAAGAAAAGGGTAGAGTGTTTACATATACTTGCTCTTTTAAAAAATTCCCCCCCCCTCTCTCTCTCTCTCACACACACACACACACACACGCACACACACACACCAAACACATTCTCCCACACTTTAGCAAAAAACAAAAACAGCCATCATTTTCGCTGAAAAGAGAAAAATGCCCTCCTTTACGTTCTATATGAATTCACCTATCAGTTTAAATCAATACCTCTGTACTTACATAAATACAAGTCTGGGGAAAAAGATAATGCAATTCTACTGCAGAGGCGATTTTTGTTCTACTGGGTTTCTAACTCACGCTTTCTTCAATGAAAAAAAAATACAGTTTCTCATCATATCACATTGATAGTTCTTTTCCCTTTCTTTTCTGGCTTCCCACGTGACAACTTACCTTGCAGCTAAGATTATTTACATTCCGTTTTCTCTAACTCTCTCCTCCCCGGTTTTATTTATTTAGAAATATGCAAATGAGATATATAGCAAGTTTCATGTAAAGAACACATAGGAAGTCCAGTATCTGTGGTAACCAGTATAGGGATTACCACATTTTTTGTTGGGTATCAGCCGTCTAGGGGACCTGTGTGTTTTATTTGATTTGACATTTGATCAGCTGCTGGGTTTATTTATTCGCTTGCATTTTCAACTGGAGGCTGCCATTCAGCCTCCGTTTCCTTCCCAGAAAGTTGAGATACCAACCAGCTGCACTATCTGTTCTAATCTGCCTGGCTATTCTACACAGAATGGAAACAGGATGTCTTATCAGGCCTGAAACATCTGCTCCCCACCCCCCCGCAATATTCCCCCCTTCTAAAATCCAGTCTGATGAAAAGTTCTAGAGAACTCAAAAGCTTACAAACACGTTTGTCTTATCTTGGTAGGTACAAATAAAAGGAATTGCACGTGGCTTTTGTTTAAGGTACCTAAGCATCGTCTTCTCCACATATGGTTGCCATAGATATGAATATGAACGTTCAGTGTAACCAGCTTAGATCCATACGTCTTACAGTCTTTAAGTACACTGTGGAAAATATTACTGAATACCAAAGCCACTTTTGTAGCGAAATAAGAAAAAGTTAGCTATTCACAAGACAGACACTTCTTCATCACCCTAAAAGCTGGCTGTTTTCAAAGAAGAAACACACACATTAATAAGGTAACCAAATGCAGTGAGAGTTTGAGATTTTTGCTACAACAAACTTGAATATTTTGATAGGTGTGGACAGAATATTGAAGCAAAAATAAGACTACATGTGTTATTTCTCTCCAGCACCTCCCTCCCATAGACACAAGGGCTGTCGTCATCCAAACAAATGAAATCTTGGTTGAGTAATCTTCAGCATTTTAAACAATTAATCAATTAAACCTGCATAAACTGCAATCAGGGGGAAATTATTCCAGGGGGGCGGGAGAGTAGGCTTTGTTATTTTTTAGATAGTGTAAATGTGTCATCGCAGGCCCCTTTGCACGTGAACGGAGAGGGCTGGCCATTTCTCAGATGGAGCCTATCTCCTGTGGTTTGTTGGATTGTTTATATGATTGATTGATTTATACCCCGCCCTCCCTGCCAAAGCAGGCTCAGGGCGGCTTACATACATTTACTGAAGCACTTTTAATAAAAAAATCATTTTAGAAAAATCTGCTGCCCAATTAATCAAGGACACCTTTACAGCTGATCAAAAAGTGTTAATCTATTAATCTAACCCACTAAACTTTGCAACATACAAACTGATCTTTCACTTTTCTGCGCCACCTTCCAATTCAGAAGAACCCCCAAGACGGCATACATGGATAATTAACTGGGGATATCCCCAGCCTTCCTGACATAGCAATACTCTGCCATACTTCTCAAACTCCAGTTCTCATTAAGCCCTCCTGGCTGATTTGAGACCATTTCTTCCAATCCAATTCTCTGAGGGTTGGAAATTGGTTGGCAAATTCCCCGGGCTGGTTGCATGCCCCTTTCCTATCAAGACTGCTGTCCTAAGGAAGAGATTGTTTAGGATGGAAGAACAAGATGGTCACAGTACACTGCCACCCACTTGACAAGACAGAACCACAACGGAAAGCAGTACACGTACACTGGCTTATGCTGATATGTTTTATTTTTTATTATTTTATTTTTATTCTTAGACTTCTACCTCTCCCCTCCCCTGGGGTGTGGGGTGGCTTCACAGTATATTTCTCTAACATAGTTTGGAGGAGCAACTGTTAAGAGATGAGATAATGGATCCTAGGCAAAGCACGACTTAACTTGAGCTGGGCCTTACTAAGCATTAGCTTATGACAAATGTTCCCTTTAAGCTGTGGAGTCTTGTGAGCAAAAATTCTACTTTGTGAGCTGCTGGCATTAAAGTTGTGAGCGAGCAACTTTACTATTGCATAAATTAGTTTGCTCTGGAGCCATCCTTCCTGAGCTAAGACAAAAATGAGTGAGCCAGAGGCTAAAAACCTGTGAGCTAGCTCACACTAACTCAACTTAGAGGGAACACTGCTTATGACTAGTTTTTGATGCTTGCCCTCAGCTCTGGAGGCTGAATTATAACAAAGTATGAGTCTCTGAACATGTGCAAATGTCATTTCCCCTCACCAACAAGTACTATATTTATTCCAAAAAAGACCAGTTTTTTCCCCCATTGGGCCATAAAGAAAAAATACAGCTCTCTTACATTAGCATCCAAGTACGTATAGCAATAAAAACATTTTGTGTATAACATTCTGGGTCATCTTTCATCAGGGGTCATCTTTCATTCAAGGTCTTCTTTCCTTCAGGTAAATATGGTGAATAAAAGCAGCTTTGAAACATCTGGGATTAAGGAGATGAGTTTCCAAGTCAGCATATGAAATTTTCAGGTAGGTTTGAGCCACGGTGGCTTTGAATCAGCTAACAAATATATATAGAACCTCCATTGTACTACTATTTACTTATCATAATTTTTGCACATCATAAAGCCAATACTGTATCATTAGACTAATACTGTATATACACTTTGCTCAAGACAAGGAATTCAGTTTACTGCTATCTGATAGATGATTGTTCTTCCAAATGAAACATCAAAACCTGTAGTCCTACTGTGGCCACATCTTCACCCTTACAGGCATTTATGTACAATTATGACAGACCAAGCAACACTGCATTTGCATGCCCACAGCTAAGTGCAGAACTGCACTCATACTGTATAAATACATGAGAGCCCGCTACAAAGATCTGTATCAGTTTGCTATTTCAAGATGCACACTCCTCTTAGATTTAGCACAAATCAAAAATCAATTCTAATGTTTAAAATAGCTGCACCTTAAAATGTTTGGCATATCACAGCAAAAGAGCAAAATAATAATTTCAGTTCACTGAACTGTATTCAAGGAATCATTCAAGGGCTGAATAGAAAAAAGGCTTTGGCTATTTATGCTGGATAGAAGCCATTACCAAAAAAAAAAAAAAAAAAAGAGGTGGCTGAATAGACCTGAGATAATGAAAATCAAATGGTCTTTGATGCATCTGAGCCCCATTCAGTTGATTCATGTGGAAAATTGTATGCTTATATTTAGCAGTTGTGTGTGTGTGTGTGTGTGTGAGTGTGTGTGTGTGTGTGAGAGAGAGAGAGAGAGAGAGAGAGAGAGAGAGAGAGAGAGAGAGAGATTACACTTCAGTGAAGACTTTTAAAAAGCATTAATGAGGGTAAGTAGTATTGCTAAACCCCAAGTATGGCACTAGGGAACACTGTGACTGGAAAATAACATGTTTTTAAATAACTGCTTTTAGGGGGAAGAAGGGGCTATTAGGATTGTTTGAACAAAGGTGAACAGTACTGTTCTGAAGCTCTGTCCATGAATTAGGGTTACCAACCCCCAGGTACTGGCTGCAGATATCCTGTTATTACAACTGATCTCCCGGTGACAGAGCTCAGGTCACCTGGAGAAAATGGCCGCTTTGGAATGTCGACTCTATGGCACTATACCCCGCTGAAGTCCCTCCC